AATTCATATGTCGTATTTTTTATTTGTTTATTTTATTTTTGTTTTTTGAAAGCTTCACATATCTATGCAACCATTTGATATAACTATTCAAATAAATTATTAATATTGACTTTTCATCGAAGAAATTGTCCCTTGATCTTTTCAAAAGAATCAACAATCTAAATCTAACAATTAAGAGCTAGACGATTTATGAATAAATTTAAATTTATAAATTCTTTATCTTTTTTAAAATTCTCTTACTTCCATTATTATCTCATAAGTTTCTTAAAATCAAAGTTTCAAATAGTTACAAAGACAATTATATATATATATATATATATATATAAACATGAAATTATATACACAAAGATAATTTATTTAGGAGTATTTATATATTTTTATTGTGTAATATATATATATATATATATATTATTTCAACTATTAGTTTTTGATATTGAATTTGAGATAAATACAAACATACTTGAGATCATAATTATTTACTTGATAACAATAAAGTACATTATTAAATACATGTATTTCATAAATCTTATAACATTAAAGATTATAGATAACAAATTCTAAAGACAATAATGAAAGTTTTTACTAACTTAAAAATTAAAATAAAAAATACAATAGAATATTGTTTTCTCAAATATTTAACTATCTATATATATATATATATATATAGTTAAATATTTAATTAATCCTAGCAATGGATAAATCAATTCATCCATCAACCCATAATTGTACCTTCCATCCTAACTCTCCATTCTCATTTGTAGCCCTCATCCTCCCTTTCAATCCTCCACTTGGCACCCTCTTCTTCAATGTAATTTATATTCCAATTATTATTCTCAATACGCTTGTCTTTTGGCCTTCTTTGTATCTTGTGATATTTTTTTGTTTTCTTGGGGTTTGTTTTTGTATTTTTTCTTTTAATAGAATATATTTATGAATATAAAAAAAAATACATGCATTTAAAAAACTAAGTATTTGTATGTTTGTATTCTCACATAAATGATTTTATAACAAAAAGGAATAAAAGAAAAATAACAAAAGTAACAATAATAGAGGTTAAATCAATCCAAAACAACCATCCATAATTAAGAGAAGGGTGCTAAGAATTTTTGGAGGACAAACTCAACAACATTGTTATGGAATCTGGCACATGAAATAGAAGAAGTATATGGAAAGTAATCCAACAACAAAGGTTACAATTCTTCTTATAAAAGAATAATCTCAATGGTATGGTCACTTAGGTCTATATTGGTTGGCAAAATTAAATAACCAATCAATCAAAGTAACATTTATTTAAGAATAGATAAATCAATATCAACAATATTATTTTAAAATATATAATGAAAACAAAGAATAAATACACATATGATATTGTGAACTTACAAAGAATTTGATATTTTAAAGAATTATTTTAAAACTTTTTGACAAAAATCACCTCCATATATTACTAAATTATAAAGCACTCTTAGTTGTATTGCTAAAGATGCCAAAGATATTAGGTAGAATTAGAATTATTATTGTTGTTCTCATTGGTATTATTGTCATTTCATCTCAATTTTTATAACACATTTAAAGCTTATGTTTTTTTTTTTTAATAGAATAGTAATAATTTAACCTTCATAATACATAACAACACCATGACTTTATGCTTCACCATGGTTAGAACTTTTGCTAATTAATAATAATATTTATTTTATTTTATTATTTAAAAATAAAAATTTCTGTTTTTAACTTTATTTATTAGAATATATATATAAGATTTTTTCCACTTTTTTTAAGTTGTATAAAAATGGAAAAAAAAGATGGGAGGGGTGAGGGGGTTGGGACAGGAGATACAATCTCAAAATAGGAGGGTTGGGATGAAAAACAAAGGTTAGGAATGGAAACAAGAGATGGGGATTAAGAACCAAAAATAATGGTTGGAAATTAGAAACATGAATAAAGGATGGTGGTTGGGAAGGAGAACAACAAATGAGGGGTTAAGACGGGGCATTAGGATGTATAATGGTGGATTTGATGAGTAGATTAATTTAACTACTATTGAGATAAATTTAACATTCTTCTATATATATATATATATCTTTTTAAAAAATGGATCAAAAATTGAATTTATGACATTAACCTGAAATAGCTAATCTTGATTCATTAAAAATATTGGTTACTTGTTTTAGATTAAATAGTTTTTAGACATTGGAGAATAATTTTTTTTTACAAGTTTAATTAGTAAAAATATATTTTTATTCTATGATTTAAAAGGGATTATATATATATATATATATATATATATATATATATACATACATCTATATATATACATACATCTATATATATATATATATATATATATATATATTATTAAAGAGCATAAATGTTTTATTCTTTAATTTTTTTGATGAAATGGATGTCCCTAAAAAACTGGTCATATATCTGATTTGCATCTTTGATGAATGTTCTTTAATAATGTGTAGTTAATTTTCTAAAATAATGTTTTTGATAATTTACTCAGCACCACATGGATCCATATTAATTGTTATTATAAATTTGTGTTGTAGAAATCACATTTTGAGAATAACACAAAATAAAATTAGTATAGGTATTTATACAAATTAAGACAATGCAAATTAATAAAATCCTCTTAGAGATATTGTATTAATATTTGCATTAATGAGAAATTCAAGCTTAAACTTTATTAATTAAATTTATTTTTTATGTATATTTATAATGTTTTTCCTAAATGATTAAATCCAGGTAAATTTGATATATTAAAAAGAAAAAATCAAAACACAAATCATAAAATTCGAGACATTTGCTTTAAAAGAAAAACTAAATATATGCTACTTGAATTAATATATGTGTAGTGTAACCTTTATGTAACTTGTGCAATTTCTACATTATCCAAAATAAGTCGATTTGAACAAAACAAGGTCATTTTAATTTAATAAACGTGTTAAATAATTTGTAAAGTCACATTATTTTTTTTAGTAAAAATATTTCAAAATATAATCTTTATAGAGCTAAACAATCAAAAGTTAAATTAAATAGTCTAAAAACATTAAAAATAAACCTTACTGGTATGTTTTTTGCAATTAATACCTTTGCTCATTATTAAATTAAATAATTATAAGTAAAATTATTATTTATTTATCTTAAACTGTAAGAATTGTTGATAAAATATACTCAAATATCATCTATATTAGGTACTGTTAATACCAACATAATTTTTGCTTCTACCATTGAATTTTATCATCAACCACATGCCACCATAGTTTTTGCTACTATCACCAAAATCTAACATCTACCATTTATTAATGTTAAATAAAAAAATATAAATATCTCAAATAATTTTTTATATTTTTTTATTCCGATTTATATATTTTTAGTTTTATAAATATAAAAATATATGTTTTTTAATTTTAGTATAAACTTATTCTAATTAGTATATGATTTAGTTTAGTTCAAGTAAAAGTCACTTTCAATTTAATTAAAAAATATTAAATATTTAAATATTATGAATAAAATTTAAAATTAGGGTAAAAAAATCTAATAACTTGTGCTGATCAAGTAGGAAGACAGGGCAATAGTGGCAAAAATTGTGGTGGCATTAGCAAAATCCTTTTATGATATGTTTTTAGTTTTGGTCTTGTAATTTAGTTATTACCAATAGATTTTACTAGGATATTATAAGGTTATTGATCATATAAAAAGTATATTTCACTAATTTTTTATACATTTATTTTTTGTAATCTGTTTATTAAAAATAAGTAACATCAAGTTTTTCAAAGCATAAAATAAAGTCTTTTTGCTATTGGAAGTATATTTTGTATAGAAGACTGAAATCTATTTTTTATATACTTTTTTTTTTTAATCTAAAAAAACTGTAATATTTTATGATCTTTATTAATGTAAAAAAGTGGACATCAGATGCTAGATTTTTTTTTCTTTGTTTATTGATTTGGAATAATATATATTTATTTTAAAATCTTTATAAATCAATCAAAGATATTTTTATTAGATATCAAATCAAAACGTTTAAAAGAAGCAAGTGAAAGAATAAGGTAAATAGTTTTATATTACACTATCTTTGCTAGAAGAGTTTTTGAGTTTTGAAAAAAAATAAAATAAAAAAAATAAAAAATGAAATAAAAGTCTTCTTCTTCATCTTCTTTTCAAAAATTTATTAATTAAAATATATTTTAAATTCTCCCAAAAATTACGTATCCTTAAACAATTTACCTGTTATTATACAGTATTGTATTGTCATACACTACAGTTTTGTAAGTACATTTAATGAACGTATGAAATTTAAGGAAGAGTGGAGAAATTAAAAATTACTAAACAAAAATGTTTCAATTGGATTGGAGATTAGTAGTTAATATTATCATTATAATTTTTTTTGTTTCTTGATCAAGGTAATGAGATTAATTTCTGAACATTAATTTTATCTTTTTTTATATTTGAAGATATCAATGCTAATTATTCCATGTTATTTTATGAATTCTTATCTGTATTTTATGCTTTAAAATAATCGTCAAGTATATATATATATATATATATATATGTATGTATTCATTTTACTGTTATTTAAAATATACTTAAACCTGATTTCTTATTTTTATAGAGTTTATACTTAGCATGGTAGGTTGTATGCTACGAATTAAAAAAATTAGATATTTTTATGTAAATTATTCTTGATTTTTACCGCACAATCTTTTCCGTTCAGTTTTTTCATGCAAAAAACCGATATGCATAAGTTTCTTTCTTTACTTACCCATCTCCAAAATATTAATTCTTGTACAACTTTAACGTGTGTTTCCTTAATCAAACTGTATTAACTGTACATAAAACACTCAGTTTTGAACAATGTAGTTTAGGGTTTTTTTTACATTAAAAGCAAACCGTTTTGTGTCTTTTCTTCCTCTAAGGCATTTAGTTTTTTTATCATTCTTATAGTCAACTCATAGTTAACGTCCAGCTACCCGTAAACAGAGGAGTATGAACAAGAGTGCGCATGAAATTTAAGAAAGATATACTCAAAACTAATAAGACAAATATGAGTTTCAGAGGAACTGTCTCAAAAGCAAGAGTATTACCAAAAGCAGGAGAGAAACCAGAGCACACACCCTCAATATCAACTGAGTGCTGTACACACACATGGAACGAGCATTAAAAAAAATGGCCCTAAAACCCACAGCATTGCCTCAACAGGAAGCCAAGCAGCAGATTGAGAAACACATGGTGCCTCTGAAACTGCTACTGAATCTGCTTGTTCAGCTCCGAATGTGGGAGTGTATAACAAGCTCTTGGGTTCGTATGGACTAACAGCTTGCAATACAGTAGCACTCTGGTACATTGCAAGCTGCACTAAGGTTTCCATCACAAACTCTGATCCGTGTGCAGATGTACAGCACGAGTCGGAGTGAAGATCTATCACCATAAAGCCACATAAAGGGGTGGGAATGGGAACGTTGACGGCCCACAACGCAGTCGCAGGCTCAAGAAGCGAGCGAGCAATTATATATCACAAGCGGGACGTCTCTGGTACGAGTGATGTGGATGGCACAACTGCCAGCATTAATCTCCTGGCACTTAACCCACCTGATATGTCAGATCGGAACTATGAAGCAATTATTGAAGGGTGTGTGTGGTAGATGGCGGTCTCGTTTCATCCACTCGCTGTTCGTGGCGCGTTCTAGCGATCGGTTTTTTGAAAGGTGTACCCCTCTGAGCTCTGGCTGATGTGCCACGGTTGGGCTAAACATGGAGAGCGAGTCATGATCCCACAACGTTACCTGCACTGAGCGACAAATCCATCACGCAGCACCAACTGTGGAGAGTAGTGCGTCCTTTGAGATGATGCTGACATTCGTTAACACAAACAATGTACCATGATTATCTCGATCTTCACCAGGGAACAAAAGTTTATTCTTCTTGCGGTAAAATTACTCACCCTGAGCCTCTTGATTCCGCTCCGCCTGCTAAACCCGGGCACTCACCCCAAGCAGGGCCTGTAAATGTTCTACTGCATTTAAAAGCTTCGACATTTTCGCCCAACATGTCGAGCCCAATCTCAACCATCCAGACATAACGCGTCACATCAATATTCTCTCCCTCGTCACCACCAGAATAACCTAGCTTCACCATGAAACCTCGATCAGCATTAATTGTCTCTTCCACAAGAGCAGGCAAATATAGGGGGCGCTTATTCAAAAAATCAATCGAACAAAATCTGGTGCCAGAAATCCATGCAATGGACCCTGACCCTCACATAACCACTCCCATGGGTAGGGACATGCTCTCAACAAAGACAACACACATTCCGTAAGTTTATATGTGATATCTAGCTATATAAAAATATGTGAATATATGCATACAGGGGATCCCATCTCAAAGGATGGAATATCCACCGCAATGCAGCAGCAGGTGGACGATCCATCCAGAGAGATGGTACGTCACTTGGACTGACCTACACATCTGTTTCATATCCAATTACTCAGCCGCTTAACCAAGTTTTTTCACAAGCTCCGTTGACTAAGCACCTGGCGTGATGCCGCTTCATCCTCATTCTCTGCACCATCAGGTTCTGGACGACGCGGCGGTGCCGCACACACCATTACTGCTGGGCGTAACACTACTGGCATAGCTGTCTTCCTAGACGCACTTGACATTGCGGGTCGGTGCATGGTATTCCACCAGTTGGGTCCACCAGTTCCTGACCAAGACATGGGATTGTACGACCCGTGAACCGCAGACGCTCCATGCTCCTTCTCCAGAGAATCGCTCCGGTTATCGACATCTCTACTGGCCTTCGAAGTGTCCCCTCTTAGCCATTCATCCTCATCCCGCTGATGAACGTCATATGGCACAGCCACCTCGTGCCTATCCCTACGCATCGAAGGCACCGACTGAAGATTCACGAGGCTGTGTCGCCCAACAAAATTGGCCCCCATTGCTCTTTCAACCATTTTCTTCGCCATCATAGCATCTCGCATGGCCGAAACATCCCGGATCGTGACCGACGAACCTACCCGCGATGGACCAACAGTGCGGTAAGCAGGAGGTGGAACAGAGCCCACGCTTGGATGGCCGTGATTGCGCATGTGCCGCTGCTGCTGCTGCTCCGTTGATAGATCGGGTGTCCAGGTTCCTGAGTGACTTTGGTTCAGGCGAGGTGACCCAGGCTGCAAATTGTCCCTCAACGACAAAGATCTCAACCTAATAGGCATCACGCTGCAGGACGGATTCTGAACACTCTGAGGCAATTGCTGCGCCTCTTTGCCAAAATGCTGAGCCAAAGCTTTAGCGATCGTATTCTGCTCCTGCTCCTCACTGACTTCTGCATCTGTCGCCAGTGACACACTTCTCCCTTGGTTCGCAACTGAGAACACAGAAGTGTACGAACACAAAGTAACCTTTTAGACAGTGCGCATTTCGAACACATAATTTATGCTGGCGGTGTAGACTAAGTTAATAAATTGTCCCCGGGACACGACCCCGCCACACACAAAAAAAAAAAAAAAAAAAAAAAAAAACGTAAAAAAAACGTAAAAAAATGAATTTAAATCTCGGAAACCATTTAAAACATCGGTCTCGTATGCAGTTGCCTGAAAAATTCGAATACATGCTCTAATAATACTGCCGTCAACCAGAAGCAGCATGCTCCCAATACCCCTTGCTCCCCATAAAGCTAGAATGCAAGAGAAGCGTGCTGTAGAAGAGCAACTTACATTGCTTGAGAGCAGACCATGCAGCCATTGCCGCATTCTTCTCCGCTTGCTTCTTTGTCTTTGCAGCTTCCCCGCTGAAAGTCATTTTCGCTAACTCCACTGTACATGTAAACACGGGTAGATGTCCTGGACCGGATCGAGTGGTGCTGTACACAGGAAGAGAGACGCCAGCTCTTTGAGCGGTTTCCTGTAGCAAGTTCTTGCACACACCCGTCTCATCCTGCATTCCATGCAAGGAACACGTCAGCCAACTAAGCACTCAACCTACACCCAGCTGCTCAAAGTCGCAATCTCACAAACAGCAATGGCTTAACTGCAGATTAACTAGAATGACTGAGCAACTCACGAGGATGCGTGCTGCCAACGACTGCGACGGGCCTCGCCTCGACAGGGTGTTGAGAGCCACTTCAGCCGCGGCATGCTCTGCCTGCCGCAGCGTATTGCAGTAATTAGGGCTCTCGAAAATCTCCCCATTGAAGCTCACCGTCGCCTTGAACCGCGGTGCATGGTCGGGACCCTCTCTGATGCAAGCATAAGCAGGCAGATTAATGCAGCTCCTCTGAGCAAGCTCTTGAAGCTGGTTCTTGTACATACCTGCCACCATTACATGCGTAAGCTCCATGCTAAGCCAACTCACGGAACACACCTGGCAGGTTGAAAACCCTATATCCTGTTGTGTGCACCGACTCACTCTTCACCCACTCTCACATGTACTAATCATTACGTCACGCAAGCGCTCCTTTCATTCGATATCCACACGCCACAAGCCATGCTAGCATCTCCATGGAGAAAAGAGAATGCGACCTCCATGCCCACTCACTCACTGACTCACCCTACCGCCCACCCGAGAAAAACTGACACTTGAAAGATTAATAGATAAAAACCACCATCACCACCTAGACCATGCCACCCTACCCTCAGAAAACCACTCGAGAACAGCTTCCACAGTCCATATCCCAGCTGACCCCACGCGGGACGCGATCAATAAGTGACCGCTCTTACGCTTGTCTCTCACACATCACCTACACGCATGGGCTCCTTCAGCAAATGACTTGAGAGGTCGAACAGGCACCCACATCACTGATACACCCTACTACAACTCCGAAACTCGCCCAACCACCCTTCGATCCGCCAAAACCCAACATCTTCAGCATTATAGACTCAGCTCTGGGTCAGAGACACAACACCTGAACGCGGTGCGATCCTCACCACCTAACCAGGCACATCTACCCCCGTCTAAGTACAGCACAGCCATGCCACCCAAAGGCACTTATATCGTATCGCCCTCGAAACTCTTGCGAACTATGTCAAAAATCAAAAAATAAATAAAAATAAATAAATAACCAAGGAGTATCCTGCTACTTGCGCGCCAGGGCGAAGACAAATTCGATACGGAACCGCTACAAGACAACGCTACTAAGCTTCTACAAGAGAAGCAACACTCGCGCCCACATAGACACACACACACACACACCCCAAGGAGCTTAAGACGCCCAACCTGGCAGGGGGTGTGGGTGGTGATCTCCCTCCCTCACTCACTCACTCACTCACTGCAAGAGTGTCGCACTACTGCGAAAGAGGAGGGGATGGCCTGGAACGTCGCCCCAGCAGGAGACTACGCCTCACATGGCAGCGGCGAGGGGAGAGTGGGGGGTAGTAATGGTAATGGCTCCGCAACAAAGCACCACCACCAGCGCCACTGGAATCCTGCGAGGCAAGGTGCACACACTCACTCACACTCACACAGTCACGAAGGATCACGACCCGACCCCCATACACACACACACAGCCCGAAAGACAGACGAACGAACGAAACGAATGAAGGCCCAAGCGAACGAACGAATCGATGGACGGACGAACGAAGCGCCTCCGTCCATGGCGACCCCTTCACCCGGCACCCGCTCTTCGGCTCTTCCCGCGCCCGGTGGACGCATCTGTTACCCGCCTTTTACTTTTACTTTTACGTTTTCCTTCTTAATTTGGGTGCCCGTTTTCTCTGGGAGGTTATCAGAATATTGTTATTTATTTTTTGACTATCCAAAGAGATTATTTATGATACGTTATAGTCGCAGTATTTATCAAAGATTTTATTGCGTAGATTTATGTTTTAAAAATGAGATCTTTAGATTGATGACGCTGTTTAAAACTTCTGCAATGTACACTGACTTATGTTACACATAAAAGAACAGTAGCAGTTGTTGAAATTAATCAGTCTTTAGAGACAACTGTTACTTACAAATTAATAATATAAATGTTTTCCATTTATTTTAATTTTTTAGTCTTTACTGCTAGTAAATTATTTCCTTGAATACTTTGTTTTGTAATGAATGTGGAATTTATTACTGAATGGAAGATTGTCATTGCAAACAATGGGTTTATTTAACCATCAATTACGAGTAGTAAGACAGTCAGAAAATTTAAGCACAGTCACATTATTTTGAAACCTAGAAAACCGAACTCAAATCTATGATTGCAAATTATAATTAAATAAACATGAAGAGAAACGAAAAAAAAGAACCCAGCGAAAAATTTAAACCATTATATTGAATCCAAATTATTGTGAAAGTTACATAATAATTCATGAAAATTCATGCATCAAGTCATTTAAAGCAATTTTTTATTATTTCAAAAACTTCAACATTGATGACAGTGAGTAATTAAACTAGGTAAAGCATTGAAATTTGATATGCTATCGTGTGTGTGAAATTTAATTTTCAGAAGAAAAAAATTATGCATAATATACGTGTTACATTGCCCTCACCTTTTCAACAACTTCATAGTGAACCAAGAACAACTGGCAATATTATAACCTTTATTCTATCAAACTTACAATAGAAAGAAAATTGTTTGATTTTGCATGGTTTGCACACAAGTCATGCACGTGACTTTTTTCTTGTGATTGGATAAGATTTTTTTGTAACATTGTTTGTAGTGATGTTGTGAACAATATAATGTAAACTTGAAGAATGTACAAGGCTTTGTAACTAATGTTTTATAAAATACAAATGCTAAAGAGTTTCAATACTAGTGCCAAAATATAGAACACGAAATGGTATTTTTTTTTATTGTGATATTTGAATTAAACTAGTGGTAATATTTTTAGATTTGCTTTTGAAATTCAGCTGCTACAATCCAAATAAACATTTAACAAGTAGAAAATTTCAATTTAACTTAATGACTACATAGTATTGGGATTTGAATAATTGTCTCTGGTACAAATGCAACACATTGTTACATAATTTAGTTGAAATAATCTTAATCAACAACAATCATATTATATTTAATCACTGCTTACAAAGATCAGTCGGGGCTTTTGCATGTATATGCAAATATAAAAGCCTTCAATTTCATAAATATCAAGTATAATTCGAAAGTTAATGATTATTTTATTTTTGTATTTACTTGAGGATGGGATTTAAAGTATTGTATTTTGATATATTTATGAAAATTTGAACAAACCCAATTGAATACTCAAAATTTACATGACCCCACAAAACATCTTCAATCGAAGTCAAATTAAAATCATAGTTTTTGCCAAAGATTAGTATCTTTCACAAACTGGTTTAAAAAAACTAATCTGGTTTCCCAAAGGTTAGTTTGAAATTTATTTTTTACATAAGTAAAACCGATGCTAATCACACATAATTATTTGAAATAACATAAAATAATATTATGTTTGGCTGCAATGATTATCCATAGCAAGTGATGTTTTAAACTATGAATAATTTAATATGTAATTCTCAATAATTAATGGACCAAGTATTTCAATTGAAAATTGAATAGTGTATACCCAATATAATTTTGAGACTAGTTATCTGTAGCACAGGTAAGATAGCAGGTCACTCTTATCATGATTAGCAATGAATTTATTTATGAAAGATTATAAGCTTGGTACTGATTTATATATTTTAAAAATTGGTACAAGAAATCAATATGAATAAAAATGAATAAATAAATAATCACAAACTCTTGTGTGGACTGTTTATTATATGTTAATTTATTATGAACCAATTTTGTGCTATGACGGTGTTATGATTGTTATTATTGTTATTTTTCATATGCACATTACTATTTTTATTTTTATTTTGTAAAGTGTCCCATTTCTTAAAACTGATTTTAATTGTATTGTACAGAATATTTAAATTTAGATAGGCAAACACAAGGTTACGAAATATTTTTACAACATCAACTATATCTATGGTAGAGAAGTTAATTGTACCTTAGCAGTGTACTTTCTTATAAATTTGCATTGAATTTAGTGTTTTTGGATGACAACATTTTAAATAAAAAATTATGTTATTTATTGGATTGTATTCTTAAAGTCTACTACAAACATTTAAGTGAGTTGTTTAAAATATATCTAATATAGAATTAAATACTTGTGTTATTTTGGATAAATTATATTGAAATTAATTGGATATGATGTTTGTTGGTTCGATAATCTTTTGTCAAAAAGATTAAGTACTCATTCTAAAACAGAATAATGTGTAACATTAAAAAGTTAAAATCTTATGATATATTTAATAACAACCAATGAATAGAGACAAAGGTTTGACATGAATTTAATGTAAATACGTGTGTGTGTGTAAAATCTAAAACGCATATTAAATGGTATAGTTTTTTTGATGGATATGATTATTTATATATATATATATATATATTAAGGATGTAATTCAATATAAATTAAATTATGCAAATGTACTTGACTATTACAAAAACATTTCATTATTGTTTTCAAGAAATCTGATTTTATAGCTATAATAATATTCATTGTACAAAACAGAGATAAAATTTCACAAAATTTGAAATGCGTTTTAATTTTCAACCAAATATGGTTTTAAATACCAAAATCAGCAGAGGTAAAAAAATCTAGTCAGCCATTGAAAATAACTAATTTATTTAATATTCGATCCACTATTTAAATTGCAAATAATGAGCATTAAATTACTGATAAGCGCTGGAGCATACATTATCTAACAGTATCGTGTAAACCATCATGTATAAAAAGAACATATTTCTATAATGCTCCAAAAATATATTAAAATCATCATTATCAATCACTGGGTTGTTTCGAGCAAACATGATGTTCTGTTTAAACTTTAAGATATGAACGATGGCACAGAAATGCTGCCATACAAGCGGAAGATGACATCCAATTTTAAACAAAATGATGTCTGTTTTACAGTGAAAATTCTACAATGTTGAAAGAAAAATAATAATTAGAAGTACTGAAACTAGTAATAAATACATAATAATATTATTATGTAAAAAATAAAAGTAAAAAGATACGTTTAAGATGAGTGCATTATAATGAGAAGATTCCGACGACGACGACGACGACGACGATCGTCGACGGCTTTCGCGATGTGTCCGTTGAGTGCAACGACAGCGTTCGTCAACGTCGGTTCCGACTTCGGCGAACTGTAGCTGTGGTCGAATCGGAACGATGGTTGTCTTTTGGAAGAAGTCATCCCCCCTCGATGCAGAAATTGACGCCATTGTTGCAGGCGCGCCGGTTTGGGAGATGGGGGAGCTGTGTCCTCATGTCCAATTGCGTCGTGCAAGCGGCGTTTCATGACGAGCGAGAACCGGCTTGATTTCGGCTCCACCTGGCCGGTCATTCAGTTCCTGTTTGTACCCATGTCTAGCAAGTACCCGTTTGGCGCATCGAAGGAGTTGGATCGTGGCTGTGCACCGATCAGCGGCAGATTCTAGGCCAGTACATGTACAAACACTCCAACGGCAAACCCTAACATCCTCTTTGCCATTGCAAATGGCAGTTACGTGCAAAATTTGAGGGAGACAGTGCCGTTGTCTAAGTTTTAATCGGGAATTTGGAGCAGCAGATTACGTCCCAGTTAGTTGGTTTTATTCTTCATTTGGCGTGGATTCTCCTTCCTCAGTTGTGTCTGTAGTAGTGAGTATTGATTTTTTTTTTTTTTTTTTTTTTTTTTTTTCCTTCTTTTAATTACTGAACATGATCGAGCGTAACGTTACTTAATTTGTGGATGCAACTTATTATGAGCAATCTGAATTGGAGGAGAGTTTATGATGTAGTTGAGAAACGTAGAGAAGAGTTTTGATGTATTTGTTATCAGCATATTTTGGGAGATGGCCATTTACTGCCAAGTACTTCACCACAGCTTTGGGTTTGACAATATCAAAACTGACTTCTACAAACAACGGTTCCAGCCAAGAGCATAGAATGGAGGCAGTAGATTTGAGCTTGTGAGTTCTTATCAGCCGCACCAGAACGCTATGGCACATCAGTTCATGAACAGTCAGACTTTAACAATGCTTAGAAGTAGTACTCATATATTTACATCAAAAAATAAAATCCTTCAGAAATGTTTTCGGTGAGGATACATCTGAAACCTCTGGACGTGCAAGTGGCAGTTCCAAGACAAGCAGACAACCCATAGCTCCAATGTAATAGAAAAAGCGTTTCAGGAAAGATGGTTCGAGTATAGTTCACCACTTCGCAGAAACATGCGCACCAAGTCCAGTCCAGATGCACATAAAAAATAAAGAATTATGTCCAAGGCGGACAGGACGTTACTGCACGTGGGAATATGACGTTAGTCACTATTCTCCATTGAGAAGTCCACTTTGGACTGAGACATCCAGGCGATTCTATCGCGAGGACACTACACCAGACCAACTCTGACATCACTAATGTTGGGGAATTCGAGTCTGAGGGATGATACGCATTAACTTTTGAGGGAGATGTGAAGAACATTGAGAAGCTTCCTTATCCTGTGTACAGAAGATCGAGACGCGTATGCCGCACACACAAGACATTAGCCGGAAAAGAGAGGGGAGTATGAATACCCATTAGATATCCTTTGCATTGGTGCATGGTTAACCTTCCTTTTCCTCGCGGCGCATGACTCGCACACCATGTAGGGACTGGAGTTCCACAGCGAAACTGTATACCATCCTCTGAGCAATAGCCACAAGCTTTCGAATGCTGTTCAAGTTGAAAGGATCGTATACAGTTTTGCAATGAGCTCCAGTACCTTCACGAACACAAATCGATGCCAGGGAATACAAGCTCTACTGCACTGGCTGAGTTATCCAGATGACCTGCCCCTGTTCATTTGAAGCAGCCAGCTCAAGCTGCGATGGAAACTCGAGCTCAGTAGTGGACCTTGAAAAACAATTAGAGACAGCTATCAATCACCACTTGCTTCTCCACTACCAGAAGTCTAGCAGATCCATGGAGAAAAGCGGGCTAAATAACACTATAGCTGATGCGGCCTTGACAATGGAGCGGAATCAGTGCTGGTGGAATGCTCTGGTGGTCCCAGAGGCAAAGAGACTGACTGAGTCAAGATAGAAGAATGGCTGGATCACAGAACGGCGCGCTGCGGAGGGCGCCTACTCTAACGCAGAGCAGTCATCCTGGCAAGGATGAATGCTGTTGCTGATCGGCGGACATCACGGCTCGGCCCAAATTGGCAGATTCTGGTCAACGAGACAAAATCTATCAATGCGTTGCAGGCTGTGGGGTCCGATTTGTATGCGGTTCGGCGGCATTGCGACAAGGAGTCCTTCCGAGCTGCAGAGCTTTATCTGCTGCAGCCCCAATCAAATATAACTTACGTTCACAGGACAATGTGCACGATGAGAATTACCAGGCGATCAGAGCGAGAGGATCCAAGGGTAAGCCATGTTGCACAAAAAGAAATAGTATTGAATGGGCGCGGCAAAACAAATTGTCGTTATTAGCGATTCGGAGGAAGTGGGGTCGAAGACCCAGTGACATGGAGGCTCATTTCCTGATTTCAGCACATAAACAGTCGATCTTGGCATCTGAGCACAAAAATCAGGGTCCTAGTCTCGGAGCAATTTGGGAGTTCGGAATATGGTTCTTCTTATTTGTGCTCAGAAAGAACAGGAAAATCCAGAGCTACATTTGAGCGAGCAGGACTAGAATAATGGAACGCGAACCTAATTCCAAGCAAAGTTTAAGATCCTTAACACATTATTGAGAAGTATTACAGCAAAATTTGAAAAAATCACAACACTCGACATAAGAGAAGGAAAATAAATAGCACATAAGTACAAAAACAACATATGGATCTCGAAATTTTCATCCAAGGACGGACCCAACTTCATTTAAGGCGGAATCCTCTAAGAATCTTCAGAAAATAAGTTTATTGCACTACATCTATTCCAAATAAAACAATTATACCTATAAATAAAAATACCCCAGGGGTACACAACAAGGCTGTCAGACCTGGAACCAGAGGCATGAAACCGGATTAAGCTTTGGGCATCAGAAAATGAAGCTGTACTTTGACTTCCTCATCAATATCCAGCTTACTTCCTGCTAAACAAAGCAGACGTTCTAGCACAATGAGTCAGATGTCGAGACCAAAAAAGAAAGTGTTGGAGCATGTCGGGCTTCGGAGAGAGCTTTTTCTATTTCATTATGAGAGTCTTCACAAATCTCAACACAAAGGCTTCAGTAGCCAGCTTCAACCCTGCATAATCATAGCGGACAGTTTTAGTAATGGCGATAATCGAGATAAAACATCTGGATAACCAGTTTTTTTTCATATCTGGCAACGCGAATGACAAATCAGGATTTGATAAATCAGAACCACTTAGTTCTGAAGACCATTAAAGTTTATAAAATGCAGTTTCCATGTGCACGTAGTTAGTCACAAAGACCACTGCTATGGGACACCACTCAAAAAGAACCAAAGGAAACATTCTGCTGTGTGAAATTAAAACATGATTAAAAAACGCGACTTGGTTCCAAGTACACCACTCCAGTAGACATGCTGCAAACGATCAAGTTATTAATAATACAAATACTTGAAATTAAGCTACCTTATTGTGTAGGGGTTGATGTGGGCAAATCTTGAATCTGGGATCTGTGGTGATTATCTTGTTTCCTATATTGACCTGATCCATTATAAGAAATCCGACTGCAGCAAACAAAACTGACATCTTACATCTTCTTTGAGATCCAAAAAGAAAATCAACAACAATCTGATTAGGCAGTAGCCATCGAATTAAATTAGACCACATCAAAATCAAAGAAGTCACATACTGCGATATCTCTCAACACTCATGGCATTGGATAAGAATAACAGGGGTTGCACACCTGTTCTGATGTCTACTTCCATGATAGCCACCACCAGCTCTTGAATTACCAAAGCTGTTAGCTTCTCCGTTATCCATTCCACCAGAATTGTTCCTAACAGACAGATTATTGGAACTAAACTCTCCAACTGAGGTGCTATTAGCGCCATCCAATTCCCCTAAATTATTCGATGAAGCTACCCCATTTCCCACACTATTTCTAGAAAGAAGAGATGTAGAGTTGTCCTGGGTGTTTGATTTTGGTTGATGGGGCGAAATCGAACCTTGAGTGTGTATAATTGATTCGTCCCGTAGAGGCTGTGGCCTAACATCTTTACTAAAACCTTTCGTAGGATTTCCCCTCTGCAATTGAGAAGCTTGAGCCACTGAAGTAACTGCTACACTAGGAAGACGGTCTAAGCCTACCGGACTGGCGGCAGCAGCACCCGCAGCACCTTTCGCAACAGCCGTTGTAGCGGAAACCTTGTCATGAACTCCTTCACTCAAATAGATGTAATCACCCTCAATAACAAAGTGCTGCACAGTACAGTAAACGCGGATGACAACCAGATAACTTTCATGGTGATTTGAAGCAAAACTGTAACAATAATCTCCTGCAATATAAGAACTTGTTCAAATTCAGCGGAAACCACTATCAAATGTTTCATTGTTCGCAGAAAATTCTTCAAAAATGAAAATATCATCAATATATAGAGCCAACAAGCAATACCTCTTTATGTAAGCTCACAAACTCATCAAGGCGACCATACTGCTTCCTGTACGACTGCCAATGAAGAGGGGCAAGCATTTTGCCAAGTCGGTCTGGCAACTGTACGAAGAACAAAACACAATCAGTGCTAGATACTGGTGACCCAGTCCGTCAAATTAAGAAACCTGTTACCGAGTTCACAATCCTCACAGATGTACTACAATGCTGCTACAGATTACCTGGGATGCTTTGACGTGCAGATTCCCTGTGATGATTGGACATGCTACAGTGAATGCTCCTATGTTAAACACTGTTCCTAGAATGGTGTAGATCGGTTCACAAAACAGTCCGAAATAGTTCATTCACATGTGGGAATATAGCTCAGAAGTGGAGATGCTCCGACACTAATTCTCTAGGTACTGCAGTTCAGCCATCATCTATTTTAATATAAATCAAGAGAAAACGTTCACTATACAAACAAGGAGGCACTCCGGAAAGTACAACATTAACATGACATAGAAAATCTTCACAGAGCTTTCCTCGAGCTCATACCATAAAATCAAACAAATCCAAATCCCGCATGGAAACTTTCATTAGTTATAGAAACACTTACTGTAGATTTCATACTAATCTTGGCATTAGCTTCAGCAGGTACTGCACGCATTAAACAAGCAAGCAACGATCTCTCATCCAGAAGAACTGGCTCAGGGTTCTTTATCGGTTCTGGGGCACCCTGTTGAGAATTAGATTGATTTGTCACAGGCTGTCTTGGTTCTTGCTTCGCCATGATGGACTTCCTCGGTGACGGCTTATGTTGGACTAAATTTTCTTCTGCCATTGGTGCTGTAGGTTGGGAGAGGTGATGCATGGAACTAGAAATGCCTTGTTGATGCTGCAGTTGTCGCGTCTCATGCTCCTGCACGGGATCTTGCTTTGAGAATGGCTTTGAATGCTGCTCTTGCACACTTTGATGACTTTGAGGGTGTTGTTGCTGCTCTTGCCTCTGCAATTTATGCTTGAATGAGATATAGACCGCATAGAAAGGTGTGCACACGAAGGACATCAAAAAAAGACCAATCAATAGTTGCATTGCCATGATCAGGTGAAACATCACAGCAGTTTGAACCATATTGGCAACTGACACCAAAGCGCGCAAAGAAAATCCTATTTAACCAAATTTAGTTTATCCGGCAGCACCATATACCGTTCAAGAAGGAACTGTTGCTAAAAATGACGATCCTTCACAAAGTTAGACCACAAAGATGCAGCTCTACGTCCAAACTTCTGGACAAACCTAACGTTCGGGCTGTACATTATTGTTCCTATGATGTTGCATGGGAATCTCCACTTGCTGCTGGTCTTGGGAGGAGTGTGGAAGTTTCAGACCTTCACTTAAAGGCTGCACAGAGTCGATCACTAAGCTTTCTTGCTGACCTGTCTGCACAGTGGGTTGCACAGGTGTCGAGGGAGCTTGAGCCTTCAAGGATAATTGAGACAGCAAAATTCCACCGTGCTGACGACTGTCTTCACGGTCCAACACTTGATGCTGAGGCTGACTGGATTGCATGTTCTGGTTTGGCAATAATGAAGAAGGAAGGCTCAGGTGTGGTAATTGGGTTGTTTGTTGTTGCAGCTGAGCATTCTGATGATGGGCATTCCCAACCTGCAAGAGAGAAAATTCTTTAAAACTACAGAATATAAAGGTCTTTTTTAAAGCAGTGAGCTTTTTGCAAACCAGGTAGTTCACAAGCTTTTGTGTCAATAAATGTTCTTAGTACGTATTAAATTCGTAACAAGAATACAGAACCGTTTGAGGAACGTCGGAGATCTCTAGAGACTCTCGATACTTGATCTTGAGTAAATACAAGCTGGAAAACGTATTAAATTTTCGTATATCTGGTGAAACAGAAATACCATCCTAAGAATATGAAAAGTCAAAATGGTATATCGGGCAGTTCACAACTCATATGAAATAATTTTAAAGTGTACCAAACCGAAAAATCACGACTCATGAGGAAAATGCAAACTTTTTTGATTACATGATGCAGACCTGTTGGTGAGCAGAGGGATGAAGTGGCGTGGATAATAAATTAGGATGCACATGTAGCTGAGTGTGGGAAGATTGAAGACCGGGTGAGGCCCAGGAAGCGGGAGTCACAGGTTGCTGCTGGAGACTAAACTGCTGCATCATGGGTACTCCACTAGAGGACATTACTGGAGTTATGCCTATCACAGCAGGAAATTGCACAACTGGGAGCCCAGTGGCATGATCTCCCTGCATAATTACAATTTTAGTTTCAGTATATGTGAAGTGAAAGTACTCCTTAGTGAGAAATTACAAGGTGAAATCTAATCAAGTAGGTGACCCACTGCGCTAGACTGGGACGCCGGAATACGATCTTGTTGAAATTTATACATATCCTTGTGAATATGAGAGTGCAACAAAATCACAACACTCTACGCTACTCTCATCATGGTATTAACGTGCCTGATTCCAGGTACAACCCTTGCAGGTCCGATTGAATGAATTAATGTGCTCTTTACTTCTGCAAAGGTTGATCTCCAAACTAAACGTTTGTCCAAAAAGCATTGCTCTAAACAATCAGGAATATTTTTGAAATATTCTTGTCATTTCAAATGAAGTAAGCCAATGACATCCAACATTAACAACACAACACGGAGGTTTCATTTCAGCCTCTACATGGATACTAAAAGATATTAAGATAGTCCTTGTTCACCGAATGAAACCTTTCGAGCAAGCAAGGCGTAAGAGTGAGTTCAAATTTTAAGTGTTCATTCACTCACCTTGATGGAATTGTCCAGTGGGATGTACACAGGTACGGCTGCCTCCACATTTCCATGGGTCACAAGGATTGGGTTTCCGCGTACCACTCCAGCGCTGTTTTTCATCGTAGCTTTACCTAAAGACTCTTCATTCCCCTCACGCTGAATATCTGTGTGATTTCCAACATGAAGCTGTCGTTCTTCTCTTGTCCCTAGACGTTCTTGGCCAGAGCCTTGCAACATTTGAGCTTGCTCTCTGGCCTCATTAAGCTCAGTTTGCAGCCGCTGGACCACTTGAGCATGAAATCTCTCCATGTCTGTAAGCTGAAAAATATAATGGTTGGCATTTAGCCAGGTAGAGAAATACTGCATATTGATACATGAACTCAAACACAAGGTGAACACTTAACAGCTCCCACAATATGCTGTACAAAATGAGTCACAAAAATGTCATGAAAAAACATGCTACAACATATAAAATTCGAAGTTGCAGCGAACTTAAAGGTTAAATCTCCGGTGAACATGCTTCAAATAAAACGAGTGAGCGATATCCTTCACACAGCTTGTATACCCTTCAAGAGTATATACCTGCCTCTGGTACCCCATCCAGACTTGATTCAATTGTTCGCTGCGATCACGAAGCTCTGCTTGCAGAGTCTGATTAGCATTGACATGATAAGCGTCAAGCTCCTGGGCTCTAGCCATCCAAGCCTGTGCATCCTGCAGCTGACCATCTTTAAACAAGAGCAGTTCTTGTGTCGCATGATTCTGCAAGAATCCAGCCAAGAACCAAGAGCAGACATGAGAGAGAGAGAGAGAGAGAGAGAGAGAGAGAGAGGGAGAGAGAGAGAGAGAGAGAGAGAGAGAGAGAGAGAGAGAGAGAGAGAGAGAGGGAGAGAGAGAGAGAGAGAGAGAGAGAGAGAGAGAGAGAGAGAGATTAAATTAATTTTTTTTAAGAGGGGGGGGGATGGGATCGCACAGTCCCTTGATATAACATAGAGAAATATCCAGAAACATGCAGCTGAATTTGGTAACTTTGATATTCACTATCTAAAAAAAATCACGGTTACCTGTTCTTCAACTTCCTGTCTACGTCGTACTTTCTCATGCAACTGCTCCTTGAGATGCTCGACTTGTGCGGCATAGTCTGACCTCCCAGCCTCAAGTTGCGCCAGTGCTGCTTTCTGTTCTGCTAGAGTAGTATCTCGCTCTCGACTGCTTGGATAAAATACAGTGTGAGGTAGAGCTGTTAGAAGAATTACTTAGGTCGTTGAACGGAAATCAATCAACTAGTCGTTTAACAGTCCAAGGACTTCATGTGCCACGCTTTCACAGAATGTTGATTATCGTACCGCAAGGAAGCAAGCTCGTTGGTCTGCTCCCGTAAAAGGCCATCCTTTGCCCAGACCTGCTGAAGGTCAGCCAACAGTGAATCAATCCAGGCTGCGAAGTACCTTTAATGACTACAATGTCGTGCCCTTGCAATCTGGAATACTAGAAATGGCATCACATTGAAGATTAATTTCACATGTTCCATGATATGAGGCGTGTCCAAGTTCATACATCCCATGGAAAACATCGATTGCGAAAGGTGCATTTGGTAATATGCAACTTATGAAATCTCTGCGCGTGCTCTACGTTCTTGGTATGGGAGAACGGGCTCACTGCTTCATTAGCTTGAATTTGATTGGCTCTAAGTTCTTGCTCGCGTTCTTCCAGATTCTGATCTAGACAATGCATTCTTTGGTCTCTATCGTGAATTTCATTCTGCAGTTAACTCAAAAAGATCAGTAAGTACATCCAGTATTAGACATGAAAGTAAGGATAAGGAAAGATCCACATTTGCTCCAAAGAGCACTCTTCAATTAATAAAATGCATCACATCCTAACTTCACTCGTGGTCACATACTCGCAATTGAAAACAAACTGCCATATCCAAGTAATTGAACCCACAATAGTCGTTCATGTTAGCAAAACTTCACAACTACTAGGGTGCGTGCGTGAAGGGCATCTACTGAAAGCAACAAACAATCAATTATGAAAAAATCAGTCACTTCAAGTTGACAGCACGCAGCGTTGATACGTGGGAACATGGGCCTTTACTGAGAAACGATATTCATTCAATGCTACCTGAAGACTTGCAACAATTTCAGCGTGTTGCTTGAACTGCTCTTCATAGTTTTTCTGCATGCGGTGCACCTCTGATCGTGCAATAAACTGTGCCCTCAGCTCCAACTCTGCTTGCTGTAATTGTTCTCTTTTCCTAGAAACATCAAGCAGTTGCTGCTCTAGACCATCCTCAGGATTGTCTATTGCACTAAATCCTGGTCCCATCGGTATAATTTTCATAGAAGCGTGCTCACTTTGTTGCTCCCGATGCAACTGCAAAAGTAAGTGAAACACATCGAAGCACATGAAATGGCAATCTGGGACCATCAATTATCGAAGCTATCATCCATTCAATTGAATCCAACGACAAACTTTTAAATCAACCATAACCTATCAAATACCCATGTACCATGGAAAATCTACCAAATTTTCCATGCTACATAAACAGCTTGCACCTACTTAAATGTAGTAGAATGTCACGTGTACAAATTGAACTTCAAATGCAAACCAAAGTAATAAATTAAACGGAGGGGATGAGGGAGAGCAAACTAAAGCAAATAAATAAATAAAAACTACTTCAGAAGTCGGCGCAAGGTCACTTTTTATGGTATGACTTTTCAATATCGTACGAAACCATCAAACATGCCCCCACGATTCGTACCCAGATTGATCCATGAACTTAACCAAAAATAAGAGTTACGGGGATAATAAATGTTATGTAGATCGAGACGTCTCCCCCAAAAACTGAAACTATAAGAACTAAAGTAAAGACAAAAATAAAATAAAGTAAAATAAATTAAAAAATAAAACAAAATGCATTTGATTGTTTACGTCACTGACTTACAAATCGTAAAGTTCCATGCACGTGATTCCTATTGATTGTTCAAAACATCCATAGAATACTAAGACTGATCAAACCACAACCTCAGAACACAGTGGCCAGAGGCGATACACTCAAGCCAATTCTTTCTGTTCTCGTGGAAGGTTCTCAGAACAAAATAACGAACCTCCTCATGTAGTGCACCTTGTTGTCCAATGTTCAGATTGGCCATTTCCTGTAGAGATAGAGGGTCACCCCGTAACTGCCCTCCACTGTCATCGCCACCTTGATGATCGGAATCACTTGAATGCTCGCTACTGCGAGGGTGAAACATCCTCCCATTCTGGTTGGTTCGCCTTAGACCTACATTTCCTGACCGTGGCCGACCAGAATGATGAGTTCTTGATTGGTTTCCAGGTCCATTTGCTACTATTCTTCCGTGGCCATTAGACATCTCAGATACTTTTCTCCACTCCCTTCTTGCTGCCTGTCCTGAAAGTGGTAAGCCTCCAGTGTTCCCACCAACAATAGGTGCCTCCATCGCACAGGGTTCCGGATCATCTACCCGTTCCAGAACTTTACAAGGACGTCATTCTCACTACAGCGAAGTCTAAAACAGCCACATTGCCAAAGATTGGCAGCAAATGATCTGTATGACCTGCATCAACATGGAAGAGACCACTTCCAATTCAACAACTCAACCACCAGCATTAACCTGCAGCTTCAACTGCTTGCAAACAGAAAAAATTAGAAATTAAAAAAATGACACATTTCTTACCTTAATGCTGGGACATAAGTGAAAGCTAATTCATCAACGAAGACCAAACTAAACATATGAAGTGAAACGGGTAAAAAAGATGAAGGGTCCTCACAGCAACTCGAACGACAAGCTCAAAACATAACTACCCTCGTGTATTGTCTACGAACTCTTTCATTAAGAACCGCAACCCTATGACTTTGGTACTAGTCGATTCATCTTACTCAACACACCCATGTATCTTCCACATAACAAATAATATAATTATTATATTTTAAAAAAAACCGGATACGAACAAAAGTCAACACGATATCACATTATTTACCGTAATCAAAACATTATAAACAAAAAAAAACTCCCTGAAACATTCTCATCCAAATCACCCTCACCTTCAGACAAAAATTTCAGAGCACTACAAGCACGCAGTGCATCCAAGACCAACCTTCAAGGCAACCCAGCAAATCGCAACACAGTGATCATAGCACAGGTTGTTAGCATCGGCAATCTCCAGGCGCTCCCATTACTGTGAACCGTCGACAAGCACCACTTTCAGGCCCAAGGACCTCAACTTGACAGCTCCACCCATGAGAAATCGAACCCTAACTCCAACACATGAGAAAAAAACGAGGAGTCGAGCAGCAAAGACGCGAGAATTAGCCAAAGAAATCCCATGGTCAAAATTCGCGAGAAAAAATGGAGGAAACAGCACAGGAGGTAAGGGAGGTGGTGTGCGGCAGCAAACACGGCGACAACGGCGAGTAACGTGGCCGCAGCGCAGTCGATTGATCGGGTGCAGTGAGGAGGACATGGCAAGAGCAGATCCCAAGAGTGAGCAGGAGTGAGCCAAAGTGTGCAGCAGGTTCCCGCGCGGCGGTGATCAGAGGCAGCGGGGTCTAAATCTCTTCAGGGGCAGCGGGGTCTAAATCTCTTCAGGGGCAGCGGGGTCTAAATCTCTTCAGGGGCAGCGGGGTCCAAATCTCTTCAGGGGCAGCGGGGTCTAAATCTTTATTGTAGATATATATTTTTCAATTTTTAAATATATTATAAATATTTGAATATTGACATGTACTGAATCCAAACATTTTGGCACATGTCATCATCATATCTCCTACTCCCTACATGTACAGAGTGGAAAAATACATGATACATTCAAAATGTATAGAATATGGCTCTTGGTTGTCGGATGTCTTTATATCTTTTTCATTTATTCAATATAGAAATCAGGAAGGATTTGGTTTAAACTGACAATATTTTATTCTATGAACTTACTAATAAAATGATGTATAAAGAAATAGATGGCACTTTAATGGAAACACAAATACCATTGTCCTTACTATATAAGACACTCATCTATTTGGCATGTTACATATGATATTGACATGTACCATATCTCCTACTCCACACAGTCCAAAAAGTATTTTATATGTTTATTTATTTCAGAAACAAAGGACCCTCATGTGTGGACAACGCCCCAGGGGGGGCAAGTTCGAATGCTGTTGACGAAACAAACGAGACAAAGCCATCACTATGTGTTTCAGCTTAGATAGTAATTAGTTATTGCCTGCAAATATACCTTTCAATATGAATCTCCGTGAGTATTCTCACCAGGAAACGTTGATCAGAGACCAGTCTGTTCCTCCCATCAAACATTCTCTCACTCGCACAACTAGCTGCCGGAAATCCTGCACACATTAATCATATACTGTGATAGTTTTCTCACTTCTGCTCACCGAGACTCGAAGAAGTTACCACCTCCTGGTTCTAATCAAAGTCGATAAGAGAAGTGGAAGTTGGCAAGTCCGGATTCAGGCCATGGAACTATCAGCCTACATGAGTGGTAGGAAAAAACAACACCAGTCCACATCACTCAAGTAGATGAGGACGACCCAGTATTATATATGTTCACGAAATCCAAAACCTTGAAATTTGAGGGTTAGATGCTTTTTGGACTCTATCGCTACTGATCCGTTACTGATTTGCATGCGAGAACCATTGTAAATGGCGCGTGTATTTGGTAGTCACAAATTTCATGATCAGCATCGCAGGTTCTTCTACACCACACACTTTATCTAGTCCCATCACACATGTGTTGTGTGATGAGACTAAAGTATTTCTACGGTAGAATCATCAACCACAGCCGCTTAATCCAGGCGAACCATAAGGTGGGTTCAACTGCAGGAGCAGGTGGTCTTCGCTCCGGATCATCCAGGCTCTCCCTCGCCACTTGATGCAGACAAAGCTTCCCGTCAGTACTCTCAATGATAGTGATGCTCTCGTTGTCATACAACTCGTCTGAAGTGACAATGAGCTGCTCGTTTCCGCATCCCCCATGATTTCCCTGCAACACAAACTCGCGGTAAGTCTCATTGGCCTTCACTAGCATACCATGATGCCCATCCCTCTGGATAGTGGCTATCTTGGTGTCAGAATTGTGGCTCCTCAGCTTCAGCATCAGGACGTCCTTGGTCTTGTTGATGATCAGGGTGGTGGACATGATGAGAGCCGAGGGTGTGAAAACCTGGTTCTCGCAGTTGGTGCTGAAGAAACCTCCTCCAAGTCGACCTAGATTCAGAAGGCCTCAAATCAGGGATCTGCAACTCAAGCTTCTTCAAGCGACTATATACATGTGTATATATATACTCATAATGCACCTAATGAATTCAGTCGGCCTGAAGCAGTCGGGGAAACCGACCAACAAGTGGGAAATCGACAAAGAGAAAAAAAGATCTTGCCCCATCAAACACACAAGCACACACACACACATAACAGAAGTGTATGAGCGTTCCCATGATCGTACTCTTTCCAAGATTAGTCGGTTAAAGTCTTGGCACTTGTCGACTACGACATCTGTTCAATACCTCTTCAGTGCAATGGAATCATTCCAAAATCCGCGTTCATCCCATTTTCAGTATCTGCTTATTTCGGCACTCAGCCATTTTCGCAGGGTCAACCCAGTAAAACATAAAAACATTCTGATCACCACCATGTAGCACTGAAAGATTCATACTCTCAACAATACTTCTCCCCGACACAGTCTACGCATCGACGTCACAGTGTTCATAAGTCGGAAAGCAGCTTGCAGACGCTACCGACTGAACTATTTGAACCTACTGCACACACTCAACCATAGCAGTCTTTCCACATCCTTGGCACTATTTCTATCATTGTCTGCCAGTGCATCGGCATGACGTATTTCAACAGCTGCGAAGAATCCGCTAGTTCCAGGAAAATCTCGATAATAATCTCCTTTTGGTGACAAGCAGTCGGCAACTGGCTGAAAGGCGCATTGGCGATTAAGATTTAAGGTATGAAGTTTAGGGTCCATAATTTAGAGCTCAAAGCTAAGGGTTCAAAACTTAGAATATAGAACATAAGGTTTAGGATTCGATGTTCAGTTTCCAGGATTCAAATGTACATACATTCTTTTGCATTGTGATAATAAACGAAATAGAATAGTAATGGGATGGATGACCTCTGTAGAAGTCTCGATTCTGCAACCATTTTGCACCCGCATGAACCTTCTCTTATGTGGCATCTTCTCCAACTTAGTAGTCCACCTAACATCTTGACATGACATAGTTCATGTAAAATTTCAAAAATAAAAATGAAATAAAAATGTTAAAAATTCTAAGATTTAGATTTTAGAGATTAAATTCTAATTTGTTGCATACCTTGCATTGTCATTCAGCATAGCATCTTGCTAACATGGCATAATCCATGTAACATTCAGTAATAATAACAAATTAACAAGATTAAAAACATAAGATTTAGATATTAAAAACTAAATTTTAATTTTATATTATTTAAATAATTTAACAATTAGGGAGGCTACCAAAAGAGTTGGAAGCAGCAACAAAGAGATTAAAAGTAGCTTTATTGAAGAATAAAGAAAGATTTGATAAGATACACTAGTTAAGACCAAAATCCATTGGAATTAGAGATTGGATTTTAGTTTATAATAGTAGCTTGATCCATCAATATAGCACAATAAAGAAGTTTGCAAAGAAGTAGTTTGGACCTTATGTAGTAACTATGGTCCATAACAATGCTACTTATTTATTGCGTGAGTATGATAGAATAATTATTAAAAATCTAGTGGCAAGCAAGACAATGAAGGTTTTAAGTAAAGAAATATAAGGTTCAATAAAAAAGATAATATTGATTCTTTATAAGCACAAAAAAAAGAGGATCAAGAAGATAAATAATTTAAGATAATATTGACAAAATCTGAAGAAAATAAAGAAGATTAATAGTACACATCGGATAATGTGAAAGATTGGAGGGAGTGAATGTTGTATCATACTTATATACAATATATAAAAACTAGATATGAACTATGAAATATATTAGTTTTTAGTTTGTATTTTTTTTTTAAATAAAATATTTAAAAAATGATTAGAAATTAGAAATAATTAATTAATTATTATATTTGAATAAAGATTAAAAAATATATATTTAATATAATATATATATATATATATATATATATATATAAGTAAATCCTATTAACAAGAAATGTTGTAATTATTAGAAATAAAAAATTAAGTTTGTAAAAAGAAAAAATAGAATTTAGGATAATTAATTATAGTAATATCTATTTAACATAAAATTTATTAGAAATATTTTTAATAGATTTATAAATAGAAAAAATTAATTTATAAAAAATAGAGATTTAAAAAAAGAGTAGAGGTTGAGCAACAAGCTCATAAGAAGAAAAATTGAAACTTTAATCATTAAGTGGTAGCTTAGAATTTATAGAGGTGGATGAATGATAAAGTACTTGGATGGTACGTAAGAGGTTTTAAGTTCAAAATTCCATGGTAGAAATTGGAAGAAAAGAGAAAAGAATATTCTCTAAAAAATCTCAAATAATTTATTGAAGATATCCAGTGAGTTGATTCCACAATGCTTGTATTAGAGAATTATGTTGGGTGACAAAGGTACTTATTGCTTATGGGCAGAAGCAAAGAATCTACCTTAATAAAAGCATGATGTGTGATGCCCATGCCTTGTATATGTTTCTCTTCTTAATAAATTGATATATAGCTTCTTTTGAAAAAGAAGAAGCTACAAGTTCGTAGTGGCTTAAAGTGATATGACATCAATCTTTTAGAATCCTCAATCCAACTTTTTTTTTTATACAAATTGAAATGAAAACAAAAGAATTAGAATTTAGAATTTAAAATTTGAGAGTAGGATTTAGGATTTAGAATTTGGAGTAAGATTTAGAGTTTTAAAAAGATGGCAATTCTTTTAGAAGAGAAATATAAGGATTCTCCAAAGAAGTTTGGTTCTCTTATATTTTTATTTTATAAATGTTTAATGAAAGAAGAATTATGAACATGAAGGGCAAGTAAATTTATGAAAAAATCTTGTTTATAGAGTGTTATGTATGTTCTAAAGTTACAAGATAGTAGAGCAATTAGTAGCACTCAAAAGCCCAATGTTTTCTCAAGGAAAACTTTCTTTCTACAACACCACTATCTTTGATATCTAAACTTCTTCAAAAGTTAAATCAAACTAAGATCTATATAAGGGACATACAATTTGGTACACATCAAAGAAAGAGATGAATGGAAGCCTACATTTAGAACTAGATATGGACATTTTGAATATAATGTCATGCATGTTAAACTTACAAATGCACCATCACCTTTTCAACATCTAATGAATGATATCTTTCAAAAGTTTCTATATGAATTTATTGTTTATTATTTATATAGTATTTTAAACTATTTTAAAAATATAAAAAAATATATAAACTTCATGTTTATTGTGTGTTACAAAAATTAAGATGTAGAAGATTCTATACCAAGATAGAAAAGTATGTATTTTATATTACTTAAATTGACTTAGAATATATTATTTCAAATGATGTACTTATGATGAATTTAAAGAAAATTCAAACTATTATAAATTAGAAGATTTCCAAAATGATAAGACATGTCCAATATTTTTTAAGAATTGTCAACTACTATCAGATCTTCATGAAGAACTTCTCTTAAGTTGCAGCTCTACTTATACGTTTGACTTATAAAG